TGTGTGTGTGTGTGTGTGTGTGTGTGTGTGTGTGTGTGTGTGTGTGTGTGTGTGTGTGTGTGTGTGTGTGTGTGTGTGTGTGTGTGTGTGTGTGTGTGTGTGTGTGTGTGTGTGTGTGTGTGTGTGTGTGTGTGTGTGTACATAACACTGGACCAAAATAAACTAGCTCTTTCACAAGAATAAAAAGCACTCACATTTCATTTTCATTTTTTTTTATGGCCAAATTTATTGCATATTTCTACTGTAATTCTGATGCAAAATAATGTATTGAAATAATGTAAATAACAGATAGCTGTGGTCCTGATTGGATTGTGATGCTGATTGGTTGATCCAGTATTTCAAAGATATAATTAAAGGCTAAACTACTTTGAGCTAAAATATTTACTTTAAGATATTTCAGTTAACAACACATTCATGCAGGTAAACAAATAAAGTATTTCATATTATTTGTGTTTTTATTTGCTTCGTGTTTAATTTTAAAATGATTTATTTGCTTGTTTGTTTATTTTATAAAAATACACAATTATTTATTTTAAAAAATAAATAATAAAAATATCAACCCATGAACCCCAGTTTTGGAAACCCTGTGCACATGCTTGAGACAAAAAATAATGCGTTAATGAACATTTGTGTAAACGTTTTAGAAAAGCAATCAAATTGACACGTTTTTTGTTTCTTTGTTTATTTCTCTTCTGGTTCCTCAAAGGTTGAAATTCCCAACATTCAGAAGCAAAGAAAACATTTAGCCAAACTGGTACTGGACATGGATTCTGCTCGCACACGGTGAGAAACACACACACTCATCAAACCCATAGACTTGCACTCTTTTTATGCAAACCTCTTTAGAATTACTACAGAATTAGTGATTTCTAGCACATATTTCACCTCGAAAAGACATAATAGCATATAATATGTATATATTATTATTATTATTATTATTATTATTAATGATTAAATCATTATAATTGAATTTAATATTATATTTCATCTTAATATTAAGTTATTATAATAATATTATAATAATTCTTTAATATATTAATAATTAGAACTATAATATAAAAAAATTGAATATGTATCATATAATTTAGTATTATAATATAATATTTATTGTAATATATATTATTTTATTATATAATATTTTAATAATTAGTATAATGTTGTAATAATTTATTATAATATAATATATATATATTTTTTAATTTAAATTAATAATTGTAATAATTTATTATAATATAATATATATTTTTTTTAATTTAAATTAATAATTAAATATATTTTATTTTTATATTATATATTATTATATAATATTTTAATAATTAAATTGTTAATGAAATTAATCATTATATAATTTATATATTGCAATATTATAATTTAATATTAATGTTATGCAATATTATATAATATTTTGATAATTTGATAAGATATTATATAATTGATTACTATTATACATTATTATATGATATTTTAATAATGATACGTGACCCTGGAGCACAAAACCAGTCACAAGGGTACATTTTTTTAAATTGAGATGTATGCATCATCTGAAAGCTGAATAAATAAGCTTTCCATTGATGTATGGTTTGTTAGGATCGGACAATATTAGAAAATCTGGAATCTGAGGGTGCAAAAAAATCTAAATATTGAGAAAATCATCTTTAAAGTTGTCCAAATGAAGTTCTTAGCAATGCATATTACTAATCAAACATTAAGTTTTGATATATTTACGGTAGGACATTTACAAAATATCTTCATGGAACATGATCTTTACTTAATATCCTAATGATTTTTGGCATAAAAGAGAAATGTATAATTGTGACCCATACAATGTATTGTTGGCTATTGCTACAAATATCCCCCAGCGACTTAACACTGCTTTTGTGCTGCAGGGACACATATAATATTGTAATGATCATAATCTGAACCCTAACTGTAAGTAAATGGCCTGTTTGGTGTTGTTTTGTCAGTAAAGCGCGTGTGGTTTGTGTTTCAGAGTCGTGGGTGGAGAAGCCGTGTTACGGGAAACCGTTAGAGGAGCATCTGACTCTGAGCGGCAGAGAAATCGCTTTCCCCATCGAAGCGTGTGTGACCGTGCTGCTGGACTGCGGCCTACAGGAGGAGGTGAACATTCACTGTCACTATAGCATACGATACACTGACTTACATATCAAATATATAGAGCTATATACATTTCTTTGACAGTTTTACACTATTCTGCATCTGTTTCCACCAGTGTTCATTTTGATTTAGTTTTAGTCATATTTTAGTCATCTGAATTGTTTTTAGTTTTAGTCTAGTTTTAGTCGACTAAATATCATAAGATTTTATTCGACTAATCTACAGTAAATTTAGTCGGCTGAAATCTAATGGGTTTAGTTACAGTGCATTTATTAAGCATTTCTCTAAAACTCATTATATAGGTTTGATATTAAGGTTTTATCATGATAGACACTGATTTAACTGCGGTGACACACAACAAGCCTTTATGATAAAATTAAATAAAACCACTTCTCGTAAAGAACAAGAACATGGTCTTCTTTTTAATGAAATACCAATGGTTATATCGGCTAATTATGCATTCTTTATAGCAACTTGTTTACCATATTCTTCATTCTTTCAAGCAGACATATTTATTTCTGTAAATACACTTAGATTGATCTTTAGGGCTACTAAAGTGTTTCAGTCAGAAGCAGTGCATGATTTTCTGTCTTTCTGTTGTTGCTTGATTAATATCAATGACTCAATAGCAACTAAATTAGGCTGCTGTCCCTTTAAAACCGAATGCACCGCTGCAATGGATGCAATGTACTGATACACGTTCACGTCTGTGTTTACGTGAATACTCGTCAAAACGGACAATTCAACATAATTTTGTGTGTAATTCTCCATTCATGCGACGCGAGAGAGTACTTGCGCGCTGTGAGGCGCTTTCTGTGTGTGTGTGCTTCAGTGTCTGCTTCAGAAGACCAGACTCTTGCGTCATCAGATTTATCCATATGTCTGCTCTTCTCTTACTCCCACATATTGACATTTTTGAACGTTTTTATTTGTTGACGAAAATGTCAATAGATTTACGTCAATGTTTTTTGTCATTCAAAAAGAGTTTTAGTTCGTTATCGTCTCGTTGTCGTCAGTGAAAAAATGTTAAAAAAGAAATGAACACTGGTTTCCACCTCTGCATGAGAATAAATGCATATAACTGTATTAAAAGTGAGTTTGTGTGTGTTTGTGTCAGGGTTTGTTTCGAGTCGCTCCGTCTGCCTCGAAGCTGAAGAAGCTGAAGGCGTCTCTGGACTGCGGCGTGCTGGACTTTCAGGAGTATTCTGCGGATCCTCACGCCATCGCAGGTGAGATCCCCCTCCGCTTATTATTAACCATCACACGGTCCTAAACGCAGCTCAGCATGTGTGTGTGTGTGTTAGGTAGTGTTCATTTCGTTAACGAAAACTAGGAGGAAAAATGTTCATTTGCGAGATTTTTTCCCATGACTAAGACGAGACGACAATGAAGTCAATAAATGATAACTGTGACTGTATCAACATGCAATTTCGTTGACGAAAAAAGACTAAAATGTATTCAAAATAGGGCTAAAAATAGGGCTATTGTACTATTTTTGCATTCAAATGCAAATGTTTATTTTAAATTCGACTAATATTCATTCTTTACTCACAATCTCCTCATCACAGGCAGCACAGCCCTCGTGTTTGTTTGTGTGCGGTCTGCGTCACTCATAGCACGTGCCTATATCGTGCACTATATCGAACATTTTTTATATCGTTATCGAAGAAGGTGTACCGTCGATAAATATCAATACCGTTTTTATCACCCAGGCTTAATTCAAAAGCATAAAAACTTTACCAAAAACCTCTTTTTATTTTACAAAATGTTATTGCGGACTCCTCTACTACGAGAACTTTCATGAGTGCGGTTGCCAGATATCAAGCGTTCTAATCCCCGAATCAGAGCTTCGCTGTAACATTGATACATTGTCTTCCCGGTGTTTTGCTTATTTTAAGCAATCTGGCAACCATGCGCCGCAGGTGATCTGAAAACAGCAACAAACAAGCTTGAGTTTAACGATCTAATGAAAGCATCACTCAGCCGGTCTGTGTTCTGTCACGAGAGCTCGACTGTATTGTTTGCTGAATAAATGCACTTACTCGACCGCTGTTGTTTTAATAGAGAAACATAGGCTATTGTGATTTGGAATTACTTGGAATTTCACTGTTATAATATTTTTTGTTTGTTTTAGCAGTTTTCATAATGTAGACAGAGAGAGTGCATAAGTCTTTGGTGTTAATTTCTATAATAAATGGCCTATAATAAATCAGTACACTAGTAAAATACACCATGAGTCCACATTGTATTGATTTGTGTTTACTGGTGAAAGTGCAATGCCTGAAATGCAAAGGTACATTTCTCAAATAACAACAATCATTATGATTATAATTTTGAGCAAAATTAATTTTGATCAGTTATACAGCATGACAAAAATAAGACAATGACAATTTCATTGACTAAAATCGGACTAAAACGCTCATATATTTCGTTGACCTAACCTTGACTGAACAAAAACAGGTCAAGGTTGACTAAATATGATAAAAACTAACAAGGACATTTAACACGGGACTAAGACTAAAATTGAAAATAGCTGACCAAATTAACACGAGTGTGTGTGTGTGTGTGTGTGCTGCGCAGGTGCTCTGAAATCATACCTGCGTGAGCTGCCCGAACCCCTGCTGACCTTTGACCTGTATGACGACTGGATTCAGGCATCGAAGTGAGTGATCGTGACATTAGCAGTAACAGTAAGTGTTAGTGAGCTCGTGTAGTTATTCAGGAGTGTGTGTGTGCATGTTTGTGTGTTTGTGTGTGTTTGTGTGTGTGTGTGTGTGTGTGT